CGGCCCCGCCCCAGCCGCAGCGCGCACTTCCGCCTCAATAGCTGGCATGGCAGCGGCCTGGCTTCCGGGTTGGGGTCATGTGATCCCCGCCTGGGGGAGAGCTGTCCCAGCAGCCTCTGCGAGGTGGGACTGGGCAGGACCCAGGAGGAAGCAGCGTGGGTGTGGGGCATGCAGCTTATACAGCATAGCTCACCCAAAATTAGATATACATACACTGTATCCGTCACTTTGGCTTGCAGTCATTAGTGTAATTAAATGTCTCTAGTAGATATTTGCATTGTTTCTTAGATGAGTCATACAAATCAAGCAGGCTTGCCACTTGGAAATATAAATACGGTGAAGGGATCGTCCCCTCCAGGCGTGCGTGGGACTCGCGCAGGCGCATCAATCCCAACCGACCCTTTCTACGGCCGCGAGAGCTGGTTCAGTTCAGTTCCTTAAACTGGCGTGAAACAAAGACATCTGAATAAAACCAATCGGAGAACAACGATTAGACTATTAAAATAAGTCATCTGTCGATATTGGGCTGAAGCAAAAGGAGAGAAACTCTGCGTTCAAGAAGATTTGGTGCCAGTCCTGTATTTCCTCCCTGACTGAGCGGTGATAAAAACGAAGGGAATTGTAGCCGTATCTTAATTCTGCGTCCAAGCTTGCAAAGAAGGTCCGGGTCACGGACGGGCTGCAGCCTCGTCTCCCTAGAGACCGAGGTAACGAGGTTTTGGTCGTGGGGAACTTGCTTGCGCCGACCGTCGCAAGACTTTGCTCCTCGCTCTGTGACTTCCCTTCATCTTTTGACAAGGGGCCTCATCCAAACCATGCATCCAAGGCAACAAGAGAGAGGCTGTTGTAACCCTGACACGAGCTTTGACTGGGTTGACCCAAGTGCCACCGAAATCTGGCCCTAATGAGCCTGCAGAAGGCCAAACACCGCGGGGGGGACAGGATGAAATTCCCATGTCTCTGCAATAGCAGGGCATTGTTCCTCCTAGAGGATGCTCGCCTCTGAGTATCATCAGTCAGGTGGCCCTGCTCCTTTTTATCTCTGTTTTCAGGGTTGTGCAGCTCCCATCTCCTGGCTCAGTGGAACTGCAGCTGCTTTGCAACCTGGTCCCCTGGCAGAGCTGTCTCCTCCAGGTAAATCAGCAACCCCAAGGACCTCCCTGCCTCCTGCACGAGGGAGCAGTGGGCCCAGACTTTGTCCTCTTTCCTCAGGGGCAGAGCTGAACGGCGCTGGGACGGGACTCAGCCTTGAGGCTTCTGCCCTTGCGTTGTCGTCTAGCGCCGCAGGGGAAATGTCTGCAAGATGGAAGGCGCTGTGGGCAGCTGGGATTGCCGCCGGGCTCCTGGCTTTGTTCTGGAGAGACACCTTTAACCCAGGTAGGCCAGAACGGACAGAGCGAGAGCCAGAAGCTGCTGGGGGAGAAAAAAAGGCTGAGTTTTGAAACGGTGGTTTGCGGCGTTCTCATCTGGAGAGAGTCGTCTGCTTCTCCGGGACTGCTTCTCCTTGTAGCCGGCGGCAGATGGGAGCTGGGAGACCTGTGAAAACAAGTGGAAACACGGCGGAGGAGGAGGCAGGGGGGTGGCAGCACTGTAGGGAGGCAGAGGTGGTGGGGGTCAGTGGTAGGAGGGTTTGGGAGCTCTGGCTCCTGGCTGCACATGTCTGCAAGGGATGGCCTCATTAGGAACAGGAGGCGTAATGATTCAGCAAATTGGTCACAACAAAAGGAGGCGTCTCGACTGCAGCGAGATAGGGGAGTCAAATCTGCCCAGCAGCTGTAGTGGGATAGGGTTTCACGTGACCCAGGGACTGATCCGAAATTTTGGTCAGAGCTAGACTTTGTCTTTCCAGGTGCCACTCAGAAGGAGAAGGGTCTCCCCGCCCTTGCTGGACCAGCATTCCCATGTTATTTCCCACCCAGCCTGGGTTTTCCAGCCCAATCCTGAATCTTGGTTGGCTCTGGAGAAGCACAGAGACTTGTGGCCACTGGTCTGAACCCCTCAGTCATTGCTGCTACTCCTCTTTCCACCCCGCAGAAACCATCTCCGGCACCCGCGTGCTCCTGACGGGTGCCAGCGCTGGGATCGGAGAGCAGATGGCTTATCATTATTCCAGATTTGGTGCCGAAATAGTGCTGACAGCCAGGAGGGAGGCTGTGCTGCAGAAGGTGAGACCTCCTTCACATGGTAGAGGGCAGCAGGGCTGATGACATGGGCCTAAAAACAATGAGGATGTAGGGCAGGTCAGACATTTTCCATCAAACCGGTATGGGTGAGCTGCCCAGCCACATTCACACCTCTCAGGCAGTACCACCATCTGACTCCTAGGCTGCACCACCTCCCTCATCAGATTTGGATGCATGGTGGGAGAGATGATCTAGGAGGGAGCCTGACCTGTGCAGGGTCATTGGAACAGGTTGGACATTCAGAGCAGGCTTCTCGGAAGAACAAGGTGGAGCAACATTGAGAGCAAATGCCCCTGAGGTTGTGTGAATGGTGTAACGTTCATCTCGACAGCTCCGAGCTCAATTCTGCTCTAGGGCAGGGGGTCACAAGCCTAAGGCCTAGCATCACATTTCAACCCCTGACTCATTCCTCCATGTCAAACAGTGCTGTGACAGCGTCAAAGGACCTGGCTCCTTCAGGCTTGTCTACACTTGAAAAGTATTCCAGCTGAAGGAAAAGGATGGATTTCCAGCTTACTGGCTATTCCAGAATAGCTCTCCATGTTGGCACGATTATTCCAGAATAAGAGAGGTTTTTTTCTTTTAAGATTAATCCACTTGGAAAGCAGATTGCGAGTGTCCGCACAGAGAACTTTTCCAGTTCATTTCCCCCTTGTAAACAAGACTTGAGTGCATCAGCAGAATTTGGTCCCCTGTAGGTTGTGTGATTATAAATTTGGATGGAAAAAGTGTGTCTTTGTTCATCCTTGACCAGGGCAAGAAAAGAGGGAGGTGAGTAGGAAATAAGCTCCCTGCCCCTGCCCTGATAATGTACTTCAATTGGTTTATCTGGGTCATTTCTCCAGGTGATGGAGAGATGTCTGCAGCTGGGAGCCAAGAAGGTCTTCTACATCCCAGCTGATATGTCCTCCCCTGCGGAGCCCGAGCGGGTGATGCAGTTCGCTGTGCAAAAGATGGGTAAGTATTGGTCTGTTAGAAGAAAAGCAACTGATGCTGGGGAGGAGGAAACAGCGGGGTGGGGTCTCAGTGAGTCAGATCCCAGAGATCCAACCCAGCTGAGAGCAGAGCACTGTCCCCGTGGCGGCTGCGTGGGCAAGGAGGTGACATGGGGTCAGAGGTGATCGGAGAAGCTGACGGCAGTGATCCCCACCAAACTGCCTTTACTCTGCGGTTCCCTTTAAGCATCTGCTTCAATTCACCGTGAGCTTGGGTCCGGGGAGGGGGGTGCATTGCTGCACCTCCTTTTCCACAGGGTGTGTGTTGCTGCATCTTGCACTCATGAAGCCGGTCTGCATGGGTGAGAGCCAGATGTGCAGCGTTAGCTTTCCTGGGTGCCCTGCCTGACCTGCAGGTTATCGTGGTTCGTTCTGCACTCCCATCCATCTCTCTGGGTATCTATTCAGCCCTCCGCACCGCAGGAGCACGATGCCTCTGTTTCCCCACCTTGGTCAGTGATGGGTGCATAGAGGAGGAGAGTTTGGATTGGCAGCATGAAGCAGGACCCAGACTGTGTATTGTGAGCTCAGCTGGTCAGAGCCAGCCCTTCTTGCTGTGCATGTGTAAGGGGGGAAAAGCAGTGTCAGGGATTGGCAACCTACGGCTTGTGGGCCAGATCCAGGCCATTTTATCTGGCCTGTGAAGCCCCGAGTGTGCCTCTGTGCTGCAATTCGCAGCCCCTGGCTGCCTGACTTGTGGGGGGTGCTTTACTCAACTCTCACTGCCCCCTTGCCTGCAGGGGGCCTGGATTACCTGGTGCTGAACCACATTGGTGTGACCCCTTTCCAGATGTGGGATGGGGATGTGGAGCACACCCGCTGGCTTCTGCAGGTGGGTTTTCTCAGGGTAGGAGTCCTTTGGGGGTGGAGGAGAGGGGCAGGGAGGCTTGGCCCCTGCGGGGATCAAGCTGGGGGCAGCTCCCAGGAGCCGCTGGCTTCTGGCAGGGCTGCAGTTGGGCCCTCTGACTCCAGAAAGGGTGAAACAAAAAAGCCTGTGATGCTTTGCTCCTGACTGGAGGGAAAGGGGGAGGAGGGGTCTGAAAGCCTGCAGGTAGAGAGCTGAACTGATTAGAGCATTGCCCTCGTCTGTCCGTCTCATTGCCAAGGTACGTGCTGCTGTAGGACCTGACTGATGTTGTGTTACAGGGCCTTGGCTCTTGCACCATGTCTATCCATGCTGGGCCTTTCTGTGGAGCCCTCCTGAGGTCAGGTTTTAGGACCCCAGAGGGGCAGACTCATGGGGTTGCTGAGACCTGGTAATGAGAAGGCTTGAATCTTTTATTAATGTGGAAGTGGAAGCTGGGGGCTGGGGATAGAGTGGAGTAGCAAGGGGCGACACCCCAACTTCAGGGGGAAACTTAGGCCAAGAGTTACCTGTAAATTCACACTGCAGGTAAGCTCAGGAGGGGTGTAGATTTGGAACGGCGACTTTCTCATTCTTCTCATGCCCCCTCTCCTGCCTCCATAGGTGAATTTCCTTAGTTACGTGGCCCTGGCGACGGCTGCGCTTCCGGTCCTGATGGAGAGCAAAGGCTCCGTGGTTGTGGTGTCCTCCATCTCAGGTGAGTTTGTGACCTCCACAAAGCATGATCCAGGAGGGCTGCACTTCCCGGCATGCTGTGCTTCCTCCCAGTCCGCAACCAGTGTTGCCACAGTCATTCGATTCAGAGTCTGACTGCCCCTTGCTAGAGCTTGTCTGGGCTGCTGACCCCCACAGCACTTCACGTGGGCTCTCAAGGACACGGCTAAAAGACAGCCACCTCTGGGGTGAGAGGCCAAATATTAGGTTATTCAGTGGCTGTGCGGGGTCAGGAAGGAGTACTTTCCCCTGGTGCATTTTTGGAAGGGAACCGTCTCACACTGCCTCTGCTGGAGATGGGAAGCCTGTCCAGCTGGAGCAGTGGGTCCACGCAGCTCAGATCATCCTCCCTGCTCTGGCTCCTCTCCCAGCAGGGCCTCACACTCAGACCCAATTTCCTCTGGGTTTCCCCTTCTCTCGTTTTTTCTTCCTAGGGAAAATCGCAACCCCCTTTGCCACTTCCTACTCTGCCACCAAATTTGCCCTGGATGGGTTCTTTAGTTCCTTGCGCCATGAGCTCGCCATGCAGAAGAAAGACGTGAGCATCACTCTCTGCGTCCTGGGGCTGATCGACACGGAGACGGCACTGGAGAAGACGAGGTGTGTACATGTAGCTGCAACAGGATTTAGGTCCATGCAGGGCACTTCTGTCCATGTGTGTGCATGCATGAACATGTATGAAGCCACGTGGGTGATATGCAAGACAACACGTTGCATTCACGTCTGGGCTTATGCGTGTGCCTCCACACAATGCATACTCCAGGCTGTTTGCATCCATGCATGCAGGAGTGCGTGTGCATCCCTGTGGGTGTGCATGGATGTCTGTAGGCCTGCGTGTGATGTGTACAGCCCTGGGCTAGTCCAGACCTTTTGGCCGCTGTGACACACCTGCTTGCACTGAGAAGGGCAGTGCCAGCCATGGGAGGGTGAATGACTGAGCGACTGTTCCCTTTCAGGGGCCTTGTGTACATGGATGCCCTCCCTGCCACCGAAGCTGCGCTCGCCATCCTCCGTGGTGGTGCCACCCGGGCGCGGGAAGCGTTCTACCCCTGGTGGCTGGAGCCCCTGTGCTACATGCGGGGCTGGTTCCCCAGCCACTGGGACTGGGTGATACAGAGCTCCTATAACTACACCAGCGCCTGAGCAGTGCAGAGCCACCACTCCTGGCCCCTGCCCACCCAGGCGCTGGGCCTTCTGCTTCCATCGGGGCCAAGCTCAGTCACAGGCTTCGGCAGGACCAGGATCAGGACCTTGAAATGGGAACGTGTCGGGGGCCGAGCGTCCAACCCTCATGCTAGCTGTGACCCCTTCCCTGGACAGCTGAGCCCCTTCTGCTCCCTCTCTGCATCCCCCCCTGGGCCCAAAGGTCAGTTCTGTCTCAGCCTCCCACAATCCCACCTCTGATGTCTGGCTTATGGCCGAGGCTCTCCTCTCAACCCCAGCCTCCAGCCTCTCGCACCTGGGGACAGAATCCACTGCTCCCCTCACGCAGGAAGGAGACCTTCCTCCCACTCCTGTCTCCACCCTGCCGACAGCCCCCAGCCTCATGGGATCAGGCTCCGAGCCCTCTTCCAGCCCCTTTCCAAAGGGTCGAGCCAGGCTCTGGGACGGGTTCAGGCCAGGCCAGCAGAGGCTTGGGCCCCTACAGGAGGGACACACTCAGCTTCTAAGGTGGGTACTCGGCCCGTTTCAGGCCCTGAGCAAGCTCCATCCACCCTTGTCTTCCCCCTCCTCCGGGGATCCCCTCTGGGAACACTGCCCTGAAATGTGGGGCTGTCTTGGGGTGGCAGCAGGGATGCAGAGGACCCAAAACACCCTCCCATGCCACAGAGGAGCAGGAGGATTCTCCCAGGCCTGTGCCCAAGCCAATACCACCCTCCACCCCAAGCTGCCAGGGACAGATCTAAATCCCATTGGGGATTTAAAGGATCAGGACATGACAAGCAGACGGCAGAAGGGCTGAGCACCCGCAACCACCAGTGACCCCCAGCATTTCTGAATAGCAGGGGCTCCTTGTGCAAGTCGGGGCTGCCCAGCCACCACGAGGTGGCAGCATCCAGCAGCCGGCGCCAGCTCAGCTGCGTGGCATGGAAAGCATCGGCTCCCTGCTCCTCACCTTGCCCTGGCACTGCAGCTGCAAGCCTCGTCATCCCCATGTCCCAGCGACTGGACTGGGAGCCAGTGGTCATGCCACCCCTCTCCAATAAAGGGGCTGTTTCCACCTGAGCCAGGTTGTGCTGGAGTCAATCCCAATGCATTCCCCATTGCATCCTCTTGGCATTCAACAAGTGGGGGTGGGCTGTAGGATGCCACTCAGGACCTGTCTCATGATAGTGCTGCCGGTATGGCAGTCAGCTAGAGGTGTTAGCGGAGATCAGGGCACCACCATGCTAAGTGCTGTACATACCATATTATCTGATGTATATGACACATGCTTTGTGCTGAAAATGGAGGTCTACATTAAGACACATCTTATACCCTGCCATGATGCAATGAAAAATCACTAGATTTCAGTCCATTTTTATGACACGTCCCCAGCGTGGAGATGAGCTGCCAGGTGTCTGGAAAGAAGAGCTGTGTGCAGGAGGGGAAGGGAAACCACTCTGAGCGGCTGCAGGAGGAGGAGGGAGCAAGGTGGTCTTTCAGGGACTTGCTCCCTGTCACCAAGGCAAGCCAAGAGGAGCCCGTCCTCACAGTGCAGGGGATGCTGGCAGGAGTTGCAGAGGGGGAGACCCCAGCTCTGCCCAGGGAAATACCACGACCACCAACGTGGTTTTCCTACTGGCGGGGGAAAACCACGACCATGGCAGGGGGCAGTACCCTGACCGAGGTAATGCAATTAAAAAAGCACTGTGTAGTGGAGGGCTGCACCCTGGTCTGCTTGCAGACAGGACTTCCTCATAGTTAGCCTCCCACTTCGACTTCCAGTGGGAGGATCTCGGCTACACGCTGGCTTTAAGGGAATAGGAGACTCCTCCCTAGCTTGCTCCTGCAGCCATACAGCTGAGGGCAAGCAAAACTTGGGGGTGTCCGAACCCCACGTCTCTAGGCTTGGGCTTGCACGTCGGATGCCCGCCAAAGGATTTGGAAGTATCGGGGGTGGAGGATGCTTGCCGGTAGCAGGGCTCTTGAAGGATTCACATGGATTTTGGAACGGATTTGGCTGATTGGACTTGGGACACGAAACATTTTCAACCCCACCCCAAAAAAAACCCCTGAGTCCCTGCAGCAGGGAGCAGCTGAATGGCCCCCAGGGGCAATAAAACCCAGTGCCCCGTCTCCAGCCGGCAGCCAGGCCCTGGCCCCCTGCGTCCCAGCTCTGGCTGCATCGTTAACACCAGCAGCCTGCGTCGGCCACTGACAAGAGCCTTTCTGTGGAGCCCGTTCCCGGGAATGGAGCCAGTCGCACCTGAAGCCGATTAGGGCGGTTAATCCTGGCTCATAAAGCCCGGTCTCCCACAATGCCCCGCACTTTGCTTTGCAGGCTCCACTGAAGGCCCTTTATGGCTCGTTTATAGGCGGGAGCAGGCAGGATGTTTCCCCGCATCAGGTGCTTGTGGAGGATGGGGTCCCCTGTTGCAGGTGGGGGGGGCAGTCTCTGCCCTAATCCTCCTTGCCCAGAGTGGGCTGTGCACCTCTTATGCCCCAGCACTTTGTTTCAATGCAGAAGCCCCTTCTCTCCCCTCCTGCTTTTTTGCCCCCCCCCAAGCAGGAATCTGGGGGGGTTTTTTTTTTTGTTCCTCCTGAATGCAGTGCTTTGCATATTCAGTGTCCTCTTTGCAGCCTCGCTCCCCCGAGCTGATCCGGGCAGCCCCTGGCCGGACTGGGCAGGCCTGAATCCGGGTGATGCTGAGAGCAGCCTGGAGGGTGTTTGCACAGGACCCTGGTGATCCCACCTGTCGGGGTCTGCAAGGACCCGGGCCCCTGGTGCCAGAAGGTGGGTCAGGCTGTGTCAGCTTAAGCACTGGGTCTCCTGGTCCTTGTGGAGCCCTGTAATGAGGAGGGGGTATTAGATACTGCTCTGCCCCTGGTTTGCATCTCTGAACGGTGCAACTGCGCCTGGGCTCCGGTCGCGGGCTTAGCCGCTGTGTGAGCCAGTCGCGGGTGCGTGCATTGCTTTGTGCGTTACTAGCTGGGTGCCTGCGTGGCTGGTTTTAGACTTAAAGTCACTAATAACAGTTAACGATGGTCTCTTTTTTGGTAGCACCCTTCGCTGAAGCAATTTGCAGCAGACAGGCCTATGCTGATGTCCCGGACTGCAGGTTGGGGAAACTGAGGCACAGAAAGTGAGTCGCTCGGTGAGTCCGTAGGGAGCTGGGAGTACTGGATGGGGGTGGGGGGGTGCCCTAAAGTTTGCCTCACATTGATGCACGGTTGTGCCCCAACCCTGCTGCCCGAGGGCTCCCGATTCACTTGAACATGTGGGACTCTCGCAGGATTGGTCCTGAAGGAGGTAGCGGGCCTGATTCTGCACTGGGCTTTAAGTCCCGAGCCTCCCTGCTTGCTTGCTGGGACGACACTGGCCGAACTGGGATCGGCATCTGGCCCGGGGCTGCTTGCAGCCAAACCTCGTTCTGCAGGCAAACGAAGAAGGCCCCGACATGAGGTTAAATAGCCGCTGCAACCTCGCAGCTTCTAGCTCGGCTCCCTGGAGCAGGCAGAGAGGGGGCCGATGGCTCCCAGATCCCTCCCCCCATGGGAGCATCTCGGGAAGCAGCCCTCTGTATCCCCATCCCCTGGGTGAAAAGCTGAGCTCCCAACTCCCTCCCGTCGCAAAGGCTGCGAGTGGTGGGATCGAGCATCTTGTGCAAATGTGAGCGCTGCATGGAGGAGGAGGGGGTGCCGGGAGCAGCGAACGGGGAGAATGCAGTTGACAAAGGAGGAGAAGTGACCCGTGAACGCTCTCCCCGCAAGGCCCAGCCAACTGCTCAAACAAGGGCCTGTTTTCAGAAGGCGGCAGCAAAGCCTAGCGCCGGAGCCCACAATGTGCCAATTAACAGCCCCTTTCCCCCATGCAAACACATGCACGCACCACCCTGGCACCTCCCGCGCGAGGCGGCGACAGCTCGGGTGTCTGCG